AAAAAAAAAAAAAATCAGAAAAACAAAAAAAAAACCAAAAAAAAAAAAAAACGAATCACTGCATGAAGCTCTAACTAAATTTCCAAAATCATGCGAACAAGAATGATGTGGGTTTTTGCATCTAACCTTGCTTCTCGAATATTGTCGACACGAATTCCAAATCCGAATGATGTCTCGGCCTTGGTACGATCTCTAACAGCTGCAAGACCCAAAAAACAAATGTCGTGGAGGAAGAGAGAACAAGTGAACCCGTGTTAAGTCCACATGTGTTCAATTGTATATGGGTGAAAAAATACATTACAAAAGAAATCGACAAAATTAGTGCTTTAATTGGACACTGCAGAATGTAACTGAGGAAAAAAATACCCGACACGCTTAATGTGAAAGAAGGTTTCCACCACGATTTGAAAGCCAGAGCTATTGATGAGCTGAGAGGTCCAACCTTTCCCTGTGAAAATCAGATGGTATTAGCAAAATGTCATACAACTGAACATATATCTATGATGAGCCCAGAACATTACCTTAACTAAAAAGTTTTTATTGGCTTGCCAAGAAGCAGCAACTTGGAAAGTGGAATCATGAATATTATTTGCCGGTTTGTCGTCATCCACCCTTAGGAGAAAGTATAATAAATTTATTAATTTCAATCCCAGGTGAACTTAAAAAGAGGTTATATTCAACAGCACACAGGGCTAATCGGTAAAAATACCTTGTCTGCAACTCAAAACCGAAGTCGATGTAATTTGTTATCCCAACTACTTCATTTTCTTCGAGGGGATTTTTAACCTACATGGGCGGAAAGTAGTATTTTTCAGTACCATCCCCCTACAGACCACAGAGAGTTCTCAGCCAAATCAAGCTGAAACTTCTCCAGTTGTACACGAGCATGTGTATTGTGTCCTCAGTCTTCAGAAATGTATTCCAGGAGAACAGTAATTCATAAAAACAGATTGAATTATCTAATAAATTGTCGATAGAAAAATGGGAGAAACAAAGAGGACAAAGGTTTTTATATTGAAATTGAAGATGCAATATTGATTCAAGAACAAACAAATCATTTCTATATATGGCCCAAGAACTATCTCTTGGCAGTACAAACGATAAATACATTCATGCTTAAAAATTCAATATATATCTTTATACTGTACTGAGAGAGAGAGAGAGAGAGAGAGAGAGAGAGATGGGGGGGAGAGGGAGATACCCGTCTTTGCACCACCACGTGTTGATAGAAAGAAGCAATGAACTGCAGAAAGTTTGTCAATATGTTTTAGTAGGATGCAGATAACAGAATATATCCAGAAACATTTAGGTAAAATGAGCATAAATCCGCTGCCTAAATTGACTGTTTGTTGATAATCAGAGAGTGAAAAACCATTTGGGAGAAAAGATATTTTCAATTGAATCGAGTAGAATAGAGTCTGTTACAATGCAATACAATGTAGAAGAAAGATGAGAGACCTTTATATACAACGGTCACTAAAACACTAAGAGAGTAAAAATACTAAAATACCCTCTAGTGTTATATCAACTGTCTAAGCTTCACACAATAGCTCATATCAACACTCTTTATTTAAAAAATAATATATATTCCAATAATTATCCACTGTAATTGAAACTGGTTTTCATTACATGGTGGTATGAGTCCTACATCGGAACCCATATTCATATAACATGGTGGTACAATTATCAAACAATACATTCCAAAGATTTTGTCAAAAACTCAGGCCCAGCCAATATGAGAATTATTACAATGTTAACTTAAATAAAACACTGATAGTTATAAGGGAATTGGTTGAATTTAAATGAGCTCAAACTATAAAAACCTGCGAGTTTTTGGCAAGTTCAAGTCCAAAGTTGAATGATGGGCTCAGTGGGCTGCCTGATCCTAGCCCATAACCAATTGCACAGCTCCAATTAGCTAAGTTTTTGTAACGTGCTTCCTCTTTGCTTCCAACTAGAAAACATCGTGAAGAAGTAACATGATTGAATGACCACTAGGATTTGAAAGGAAATAAGAATGATGTTAACTGCTTTCAATATGATCGTATTTTCGTTGATCAAAGAACATATTAATTAATCATAATAGAAACTGCTTCAAACACCCTCCTAACAAAGAACATCTACGAGGACCATGAATCTGAATCATTGTGCAAAGGAACAGAAACATTATACTGCATTGTCCATGACAAACGGGTGAAGTCAGAATGGGAGAGAAGTATAATGTGCGATTAATGTTTTCTTCAAAAGTTTGGCAACCAAGTCTCGAAATAAAAACACTTACATTTTGGTTCATATTGCACTCCAGCAGTTAACCTCCCCATCTTGCTTACTAACCATGCAGTTTTGGGGAGCTCATCTCCAGCTGTGAAGAAAAGAGAGTAAAAAAACTCCGTCTTGTTTGCAGAACTAAACGCACATATACATAATGATTAATTACATAACTGATAACCCAGAAACAATCAACTTATTCAGTCCACATATTTCAAGCAAAGCTCATAGGAAATAAGATGTACAAGTGTATCATAGTATGAGATATACAGAACATGCGACAGCAGCATAATATGATGCTATAAGTAGTTATTTTGTGAGAAGTAAAAACACGAGAGTTTGGTACCTCAGAAGAACATTCAAACATAAACAGACATAGCATCTGAACATACCAGCAAAAGGAATAACTGTAGCTCCAACCGACAGATTTGAAGAGCCATACCTCAAACCCATGACACCATAATCTTCAGAAGATAATCTGAATGATCCAAAACAACATAAAAGTACGACAAGCAATGAGTATGAATTATAATCAACCTCATAAAAGTCACCGTCACTTGAGTTAAGATGTTGGCGTCAACCTCTGTTTCATAAGGACTGGGAAGATACCAAATGCTCCAAACCCGAACTTGGGATAGTATGCACATGATCTCATCAGTAAAGTCCTGTATGACACAGAAAGATCATTAAGAATTGAGTTTTGTTACTGTGCAAGCAGATAAGAGGTTCTCCAAAAAACATTTTCTTACGGTTCAGTGTTTGAAACAAAGAGGTCAACAAATGTGTGAGGATCATCAACATCACTACAGTGAAAACAAATGGATGGTTAGTTGAATATCATGGGCGAACAACTTGATACCATGATATCGCTCATATTTTAAATGGATTCAAAACCTTTGCCACCGGAATTGTGCATTTCCCCCAATTTTCTCCTCTGGCTTATTGTCATACGGACCAGAAACCTGAACATGCTAAGGAACACTTGATTTCATATCTTTTGCGTCAGGTATTTAACTAGAAGCAGCAGATATTCAACCTACAAATGAAATGATTTTCCAAGAAAAATGAAAGTGAACTACAAAAAGAATCTGAACGGTTACTCAGTTAGTACTTCAGCTCATACTTCGAACACGATAAGGAAACTCCACTAGTGCCCAATTCTAAGGCGGATTATTGTTCATGTGAATGAATAAGCTAAGACACTACACAAACACAGCACAATAGATCAAATACGCATGAGAATTCAGTAATTAGAGAGAAAAAAAAAAAAAAGACAAACGGATACAGTGGCAATCAAATCAACATGTGGATCATCAATCGGCTTGAGCATAATCCTCGTGCTGAAATGCTTCGCGTCTTCGAAATAATCCTCGAACAGACACCTCAACGCCAGCTTCCCGAACAAAAGGTTGTACGATGATTCCAGCATTCTACATTTCCATTGAAATTTTTTCAGCGTTGCACATTAGAAAATGGGAGAATGGAAACAAAACTACCTTCTGGTGTGAAATATGTTTCGAACCTCGTACGGGCGGCGAGAGGAGGAAAATCGAAGAGAGGCGGAACAAGCACCATCGGCGGCGGCGGTGGAGGTTCGACGGCGGACCAGAAGTTCCCCATCTCCGGTGAATTTTACGATTGATATAAAATTAAAATCGAGTGAGAATTTGTGAATGATAAAAGGTGGGGATTTGTTACTGTGGAAAGCGAAAAACTCTCAGCCCTCGTCCTGACCGTTTCTAGTTTCCATGTAAAGTGACGTGGCGCCCGAGGAGTACAGATCCGCATTACGTGGCACATGTGGGCCGTGCACAAATTATCCTCCCACGTACTTGGACTATGAATGCCCGTTGGGTCGGCCCACCTTAGGGCGTTGGATACAAATTTGGGCTTCAATTGGTTAAAACAAAAATAAAAATAAAATTTACACACTCAACCTTCATTCCACATTCGGAAACATATGGGCCAAATTCAGTCCTGGCCATGCTGATGTATTGAATCTTGGGTAGAAAAATATGAGATCCTTGAATGCAAAACTATCTCAAAAAATTTCAAATATTTTTAACTCAACAAATTTTTTAACTCAACTTTAACTCAACTCCATTATCATTAATTTTATCAATATAACTAGTATGTGGCCCATGCAATACACAGAAAAACAATATTATGATTATATTATAAATTAAATATATAAATAACATTAATCATGATTCACCCATTGTTTTTAAATTAAACCGGGTTGGACACAGTCTGATTGGATAGACCGAGAACCGCTTTATAACCAGTCTAGTTCGCTTGAATAAAATATTTGTTATGGAATCTGTCAACACCAATTGGTTGGATTGGTAGAATCGATACGATTTTCTAAATAAATTTTGTTACATTTAAAATTATTTTAAATAAAAGTATATATTTAAATAAAATAAAAATTTATAAAAATTTTATCAATTAGTTTAAATATTTGAATTTATAAATTGTTTAGATATTTAAGTAACACATTTTATTTGAACTTATTACAAAAAGTACTCTATATATATTAAAATGTTTATAAATTAGAATCTCATTAAACCAAAAATAATTTAATAAAATAACTTGATCGTATAAATATTAATCATTAAACATGTTATCATAAAGTTATTATTAATATAATTATTTGAAGTTTGGACAATTGGACTATATCACATTCACGTAATAAAGTATTTTCAATATTAAAATTTATATTTAAGTTCAATTATCGATTTGGTATGGTCAAACTGATACTTAACTTAGTCATCTGAATCATCCAAGTTGTGTCAAGTTTTTTTACTATTTTAAATATCACCTAAAAGTAATTCAATCAACATGGACACTATCATAATTCAATCACCTGATTGATCCAAATATATTTTCTTATTTTATTTAAATATATTTAATTCATGAAATAAAAATATTTTATGATTCATATAATGAATGTCCAAACCAACTGATAGTATATTAGGATTATAAATTATATATCTAATGATGAATTAATTATTTTTTCTTTATATGTATTAATTAATAAACATAGTAATTTTTAAAAAAAATTTAAGATTAATTGATAGATTATAAAATTTAAAGAATATTTTTAGCGTTCAATTTTTTATTTTTATTTTTTGAAAGGACACAAATATAAATACCGAGATTCTTAAACTTTTGTTATATTTCGAATTGAGATTTTTTAGATATAAATACCGAGATTCTTAAACTTTTGTTATATTTCGAATTGAGATTTTTTAGATATAGAGACCGAGATTTAATGTTGTTCGTTGTTTCTACGAAAAAAAAATAAAAATAAAAATGTGCACACTTAACATATCTTAGACTAAAGCTCGAAATTTAAGGTAGCATTTAATACTGTATGATTTTTAAATAAAAAAATAAGGAAAATAATAAAAGTTACTATTTGTAAATTATGTATTATATTGAAAAAAAATTGAATTATAAAATTATACTTGTAAGTTTTATGCATTTTTATTTATTGAAACTATGGGCAGTATACTCGACTATACATTAATTATAGATGTATCCTAAATTCTCTAAATTACGGATGTATACAAACAAAAAAAAGAAAGAAAGAAAAAAAACACAATGCTATAATTTTGGAAACATGCGTGAGATTTGTGAAGCTATTATTACGTTTTTTGTTTTCCAAATCCACAATTTTAGGCTGCATTTAATGCTTGAATTTGATGTTAAAAAAATAAAAAAAAAAATCCAAAAATGGCATGCAATTAATATTGTTAGATTTTTTTACTTACTATTTTTGGTAAATGGTACTCCCTCCTTTTTTTAATAGATGTCATTTTGAGAAGTTGCACACTAATTAAAAATATTTTTTTTGCCAATAATAACCCTCATTAATGAGGATAGAGATGGATGTTTTGAAAAAATATAAAGAGTGAATATGAAAAGACAAAGTGTATTTATTAGCTAGATAAGGGTAATAATGTAAAAATATGTCAAAAGATCCAAAACGTCATTTATTTAGACAATTGTTGATAAAGCCAAAATGACATTTATAAAAAAAAGGAGGTAGTAATTCTTATTATATATATAAATATAAATTAACTAATATCAATTAATCATTTTTATACACCACATCAACTTTAGTTCACTATTCATTTATTTGAATAATTTTGACTATCACTTTTTATCTCTTATATTTTTTCATCAAATCAACTTTATTTATTTTATTTTAAATATTATTTTAATATGCCCACTAATAACTAATCATATCACAATTTTCAAAATTTATTAAACCAAACCAAAAAATACAAATAAAATCAAAAATTTTTATATCCAAACATACAATAAGAATTGGTATTTATCGAACTCACAGTGATGAAGCTATTTTTGTCATTTTTTCCAATAGAAGAAAGTTAAAATGTTGGCCAATTATAGCAAATTGTTTGAACAATTTAAATGGGAAAGAATCGACTAGAAGATGGACATGCGATGGTGACGGCAAAACATATGGCCATACGGCCCATACTGAATTCATGGGTTTCAACTTCTCGTGGGCCGTTAAAAGTGATATTTTCAAATAATAGATATAGATATCATAAATAAATATGGGAATGAAAGAATGACCCAGTGGACGATACGTCATAAATTTTTTTTCTTAAATACGAGATCAATTTTTTATTATCATTCTTATGTTTTTCTTTCCACTTCAACGATTTTTCCTAATCCTAAAACGCACCAATAGATCCAATTCCTCTCTTGGCTTTCAGCATTCGGTGCCCCCCTCTCCACCTTCCGCCGCGGCTTGCTCCGCTCCTCCGACCATGGATTGGACCGGTGATGGGCGGCCTTCTCCTTCGGGCTTCGCCTTCTGGCCGTGGGTGGTTCCGACGCCAGCAGAGGGTGTGCATCTCGGCGTCATCAGAACCGCCCCCAACGTTGCCCTCTCTTTGAGATCGTCTCCCTTCTCTCGCCGCCGGCAACGTCTGCCGCCTCCAGGTATGGGTTAGTGATTTAGGGTTTCGCAAATTTTGAATTCCTTTTTTTGTTGTGGATTTAAGATCTGAAAAAAATTGAAGATAAGATTTCCAGCGGCGCCATGGTCTGTTTGAGAGCTCTTGTTGGATCACTCTTGAATAATTTTTAAAAAATTTATCTGAAAATAGATTGTTAGCTTTAATTTGATTTTTATCTTGAGTTGATTTTAGTTAAATAATTTTTAACTAAAATATGAAGCATGGGATAAGCTTTTGTGTTGTTAATTCAGTCTGCCCACATTCCTGATTTATGAAAATGCTTATGTGCTCATTCACTTTATTCAGATGGGATCCCATGAGACGCCAAAGCAGAAGTGCAGTCGACGCTTTTTGACTACTTGCACTGGTGTGGGTATGAGCTTGTTGGACGCTAAGCACATTAACGAAAATTCGCCTAGATTCGTGGCGAAGCTGATTGCAAAGGTCGAGAAAACGGGAGCTTGTGCTGGTGTTATCAACGAAGAGGAAACAAGTGTACCGAACAAGTAGCCAAGTGAAAGCAAAAGAAGGGAGCTAAGGCAGCCAGTGATCCATATGCCTTTGTCCAAACCCTGGGATTTAGCGACTTTCGGTGAAGCTACATTCGGACTGTTCGCTTTGCCATCGCTCAACTCTATTGACTTGAGACTAGGTTGAGGGAGTCGATCAATTGACCTCGTACCTCGTCCCACGAGTACACTAACGAGAGAGGAAACCTTACTCTGCTGAGCTATTCGGATTTAGAGGGGCTTTTGTTATCTTGTTTTGAAGGGGTAGTTTCGTAGCAGGTTTTTTCGGATGTTTTCTAGGATCAAAGGGAAGCTGCTAACCTTATACTCAGGATTTGAAGAGTTGGGCTGGCGGCAGGGCGTCGTTCACTGTACTGCTCAAGGAGAAGAGAGGTGAAAATGGGGATTCGAAGGTCGAAAAAAGTGATTGGTTGCGTTAATTTTCTTTTTAGTTTTTTTAGTGTTTATTTGATGTTTTTTTATAAAGTTTTAAAATAGTTTTTTTAGTGTTTATTTGATGTTTATTTGATATTTTTTATACAGTAGTTTTTTGAGTGTTAATTGATCTGTACGTGTGTTAATTTTTCTTTTTAGTTTTTTTAGTGTTAATTCAATGTTTATTAGACGTTTATTTGATGTTTATTTATGAGTTCTTGAAATTGAGAGCTTTTTTAAAATAGTTTTTTTAGTGTTTATTTGATGTTTTTTTATAAAGTTTTAAAATAGTTTTTTTAGTGTTTATTTGATATTTTTTATACAATAGTTTTTTGAGTGTTAATTGATATGTGATTTCATGTTTATCAATAGTCTGTATTCTGAAAATAAAATATATATAAATTTACATTTTTTGTATGTATAAAAGTATTAATTTTATAACTATAATAAACTAAAAATAAACTATATATAATTTTTTTTGTATATTAAACTGATTTTTTCTTATATAATAAACTAAAAATAAACTCTATATAAATTTAAATTTACAATCTTTCTTATTGTAATGATTTAGAAATCTATAATAAATTAAAAATAAGAATTCTAATGGTTTATATAATTTTTTAAAAAAATTTGTGAAAGCAGTTTTGTTAGTGATAATTTTATGTTTATTTTGAGTTGATTTGTATCAATTGTATTTTTTTGTCTTATCTATTGTTTATATTCTGCTTATTTTTTGCATTTTTTGTCTATTTAGTTTTTTATGATTTAGTAAAAATCTAGATAATAAATTTAACATTAACCATAAATTTAAATTAGTTTTTAATAAAGTGTAAAGATAATGTAATAAATTTAAGACAAACTTAAAATGATCTAAAAGAGTTTATAAAAGTTAATGATTGTGTGTTTCAACAGGCGTTATAATAGTAAGTGGAATTAGCGAACGCGTAAGTGGAATTAGTTGTGTCTTTTTGGATTATAAGTGGAACTAGTTTAAAAGTCTCGTACTGTGGGATAAATTTTTTGAAAGAAGAACACATGTGTCTTTTCGCCTATGGGAATCACATACATTATTTACTCTATACACCCTATATAATTGTAGTAGAATGCGTTTAGTCTAAGTGGAATGTTTTCACTCTTCGAGATTCAATGTGGTAAATAATCATATTTCGGAATCAAGCTTAGATATAAATTAATTTATTTTTTATACAAAAATAAATAGGTTTGAATTTCATTTAATGTCTATATCATTCATATTAATTCCTAATCACTTCCTTCTTTTATTATACAATTACTTACCATAAACTATTTTAAGTTTCTTTTTTTTATATTACCATATATTAAATTTTATTTTCTTATTTAATTCACATATCAGTTATTATAATGTTTATTCTTCTTATTTTTAAAATTTTATAACCTTTTTTTGCTTTGTATTGTATTTTTATATACGATATATCAAATTATTTACCTTTTAACGATCTTCGTTTTGACATCCATATTATATATACAATATATAAAATTGTGACATATAGTTTTATAAATAAAATCTAATATTATTTATCAAACTAGATTAAAATATATCAAATAAATTATTTTATCTTACAAAGTAATAAAAATTTATGTGTATTCTATAATATAACTATTTTATTTAGAAAAAAAATAAATAACTTAAGTATGAACATCAGATTAGTATAAAAAACATATTCTAAAAGTTTATATCTCGACTTAAATAAAGATTACACATAAACATTATATTTTTTTCATTGATGGTACAAGAGATAAGTATTATATTTTTCATTGATGGTACAAGAGAGAATACAATAAATACATAAAGGTTACAATACATAGAAACAAATCAAGATCATATCAAACCAAATATCTATTAACAAAATAACTACACAAAATAACTAACAAATCAAAATCATATCGAACAAAATATATCTTAACATTATAGAAGAGTTCGTATATAATATATTCCAGAAGAAACAAATAAAAACTTCCAAGAAGTTTCGAAGTTCATTAAAATGGAATATTCGGACGTGCAAAAATGATGGAAATTTTAATAATTCAGCACGGACCAAGAATAGTCGACTTGTCGCCTCAGAGCACAATCCCAAATTTGCCATCGCCACAATAATTGGATTTCTCCCCAATTTTCTTAATTAATGTTGCCATAATTTTCATGGTCATACTTCGTACTGTAGCTCAAAGGCTGGCACGACTTGCTTTAATTATTAGAAAATGTATTTTGTCCTCATATAAATGAATATAGACTCCCATCTCAACTTGCTTTCATTATACTTTTGTTGATTGGCTACCAATCCTGTTCTAAAAAAATTACTTTTTGCACCAGAATTATTTTAAATAGGATTTATTGTATATTTAATTATTTATTTGAAAAGTTAGTCAGTAGTTGATAAGTTAATGATAGATTATAAATTAATTTTTGAGATAAAAGCTTTATGGGTGATAGTTTAAAAATTAGTTAATATAATAAAAGTGATTAGTAAATTAGTTGATACTACAACTAAAAAAATGTTAGCCCAACTTATTTGGATAAAAGAATTTTATAAATTAAATAAATAATCAAAAACCAATTGATGCTTATAAACATTATCCCCTCTATATAATTTCATAATGTGTTGAACCTACGTGACAAACTCTCATGTTTCAGAATTCTATTTGGCAAAAAATCATGCTTTGGAGTTAGGTTTAGATATAAATTAATATTTGTATTAATTGTATTTTAATATTATTTCCTATTATAACCATTGAATTGCAACTATATTTTAAAAGTTGATAACTTTTGTATTACTTATTGGTTTTACATATACAATATATCAAATTAATCATCTTTTGATGAGCTTCGATTTGGCATCCATATTGTATATATAAAATAAATAAATTTTATTTATCTTTATAATAATAGTAAAATTATTTATTAAAATTAATTAGAAAATAAAATTATTTATCAATTAATATATATATGTTTAATGTAGTTATATGTTATAAGGTAGAAAATTTATTATAATATAACACATATAAGTCGCACAAATTAACATGTGTCATACTAAAATATATAATAATATATACTCCCTCCAATTTTTATTATTTGTCACTTTTGCTTAATTGATCATTGATACAAAAAATGTCATTTTAGATATTTTGTTCATATCTTTTCATTTTTAACCCTCCATCTAATACACAGTGTCTCTTCATATCTCATCTTCATCGTTTCCCATAACATCCATTAAATAGGGTTAATATTGTCAAGAAAAAAGAAATCTTAATTAGTGTGTTGCATTTGAAGTGATATTATGAAGTCCGTTTGTATTTTACTATATATATATATATAATACAAAACAGTAATATATACCCTTATAAATAAAATTTAAATTTATATATAAAACTCAATTAAATTATATCAAATAAAACTATAAATTATACTATAAAGTAGTAGAAATTGATATGTATTCTTTTAAAAACGATGTTTATTTCAAATCTAATTGGTATGTTGTCAATGTAATAAAAATAAATAATTATTTATCTAAATTCTAAAATTACATATAAAGTTAAGAAACTATGAAACACGACTGATGCGACACTTGATGTATTAGACATCTAATTAAGTAAAAAAATTAATCTATTTTGCGTAATATTAAATAAACATATTCTACACTTATGCATATACATATCACCATATTATTTATATTTATTTAAGATATATATTTTTGTACTTATGTAATAGTAAATAATATCGATATTTTTATATGATATAAATAAAAAAATTCAACACGGATTAACATTTTCATTTAATGTACGGGTGTTTAATTATTATGATTAAAAAATATAATTTGACAATTAAATTAAAACCCAAAGTAATGTTTTATATAAAATAAAATTATTTTAGTTTAAAAAAAAATAAAAAATTAATATTTTTTACAAAAACTTTCTAATTCAACACTCGTGTAATACATGAGTATTGTACTAGTTGGTCCATTGATATGCAATGATTAAAACCATCTTTTAACTCATTAAAAAAATGGATAAATAATGATAAAATTTAAATAATTTGACATGCACAAAATATGATTATTGAGTCCAAATTGAGGATCTAAGTCTAATTTAGAATGAATACGTGATTTATATTGCATAATGAATGTTGTGATCTGTAGATTTGCTATGGAGCCATCAGATGGCTTGACTTATGTAGTCATCCATACTTATTCACCAATAGTGTATTGATACGTGTCCTACAATAAATACAATTTAGACATGTGTCAATACATTAAGTGGTTGATGGATATATAAGAAAACCATCATATGACTATATAATTTTTGTTGTAGATAATTGCCCCGAATCATCATATTTATCAATGGTAAAGTAATTAAATGGGCTTGCACAAAAAGAAAGAAAAATATGTAGCGGGCTTTGTATAATTGTGTCCATGAAAACGTATGGCCCATAAATTCCCAACACTCTAATCTAGTTTAATAAATAAAAAAAGAAAATGAAATAACAACACCATAAAGAGGAGCAAGAGACGAGCACAGAGATTAGAGAGAGAAAAGGAGAGGCCGTACGAAGGTCTTAGAAATGGAGGTGGTTATGGCGCCAACTTCAACGATGCTTCTTCAATTTTGACTCTCTCTCTACCTCTCCTTCTCTCTCTCTCTCACACACCCACACAGTTGTGGCGGCTCGGAGCTGTGGCGGATTCTCTCTTGTCTCTTGCCTCTCCATTTTTGTTTTCTCT